AATCTGTACATGGACCAAGAGGCAGAAGTTCGAACAGAACATGGGAACACTGAATGGTTTAAAATTAAGAAAGGTGTGCACAGGATTGTATTCTTTCAACATACTTATTCAACCTGTATGCTGGACAAATAAATAATCCGAAAAGCTGGGTTCTATGAAGAAAAACGTGGCATCGGGACTGGAGGAAGATGCATTAACAGCCTGCAATATACAGACAATACAACCTTGCTTGCTGAAAGTGTAGAGGACATTTACTGATGAAGATCAAAGAGCACAGCCTTCAGTATGCATTGCATCTCAATGTAAAGAAAACAAAAATCCTCACCTCTGGACCAATAAACAACATTCTTATCAACAGAGAAAAGATTTTTATGTTGTCAAGGACTTCATTTTTCTTGGATCAACTATCAACACTCATAGAAGCAGCAATCGAGATATCAAACGACGTATTGCATTAGGCAAATCTGCTGCACAAGACCTTTTTAAAGTGTTGAAGAACCAAGATGTCAGCTTGAAGCCTAAGGCGCACCTGACCCAAGCCATGGTATTTTCAATAACCTCATATGCATGCGAAAGCTGGACAGTGAATAAGGAAGACCACAGAAGAATTAATGCTTTTGAGTCATGGTGTTGGAGGAGACTATTGAAAGTTCCATGGGCTGCCAAAAGAATCAATAGATAGAATCAAAAGAATCAATAGAGCCAGAGCGCTCCTTGGAGGCCAAGATGGCCAAACTTCATCTCTTATACTTGAGACATATTGTCAGGAGGGACCAGTCACTGTAGAAGGATATCATGTTTGGTAAGGTGGAGGTTCAGAGAAAAAAAGGAAGACCCCCAACGAGATGGATTGGCCAAGTGGCAACATCAATGGACTTAAGCGTGGCAACAGTAGTGAGGTTGGCCCAGGATCGGGCAGTGTTTTGTTCTGCTGTGCATAAGGTGGCTATGAGTCGGTACCGGCTCGATGGCACCTAACAACAACAATAAGTATTCATTTAGTTCATTTTATTCAATACCTAACCACAAGCAAAAGTCACTAAAATGTAACTCCTGTAATCTGCTCCATCTTTCCTCCTAATTTCAACATCATACTATTTATCATACGGTGTGTGCGGTGAAGTACTGAATGTGGCCCTTCTAGCCATAATTTTGGAGATGAATAAGGAAGACTGAAGAATCAGTGCATGTAAATTACCATGTTGATAAAGAATATTGAATATATCATGAACTGTCACAGAAAGAACAAATTTGTCCTAGAAGATGTACAGCTAGAATGCTTATTAAAAGTCAGGATATCAAGACTTATTCTTACATACTTC